CTGTGCGGGGGATGGCGATGGAGGCGTGAGAAGAGGCAGGGAGGAGGTTCACGATGCGAGAGGTAGGGAACGTGCGATGCAAAAGGTTTATTTGGTAACCGGTAGTAATTAGTGGGGCATGTTGTGCGGGGGTGCTAAATGCGTTTAGCATCAACCATGTTTTAGTGTTAAACATTGGAGTGATTTGGGCTATTGGATCAAGTTGTTTGAAGGGATGAAATTGTTTGGTTCTTCGCCCTTTCGTCCTTTTATAGGGATAGTAGATACAACATAGCCGCACCTCCAGGTAGTCCTGGCCATGGGCAGCCCGGCCCGAACGCCGCTCCCGGGCTCGGGCCTAGATTTTGAGCCCGAAGGCCGGGCCGGGCCGGGCCCGGGCCCATCATTTTTGTGTTTTCCTGAAGGACGGGCCGGGCTGGCCCGAAGCCCGACGGGCTTTTATGTGTTCGGGCCGGGCTCAGGCCCAGAAAACAGACCCGACGGCCGGGCCGGGCCGGGCTCGGGCCTGGGTTTTTTGCGTCGGGCTTGACTAGGCCCGGCCCGGAGCCCGGCCCAGCCCGAGGTATGGCCAGGTATACCTCCAGGGGTGTCGAGCAATTCCCTAAACCTAAGTCTAATAATCCAATCCCGCCTCGAGCCCTACTCCCCTCCTCCCCTGCTCTCCACTGCGCCACCTCCTCCCCTTTACTTTTCTTTCCGGCGGCTGCGGCAGCAACGACATGCAGGCAAAAGAAGGGCAGAGGCCCTCGAACCACGACACCTCTAAAAAGGTAAGCGACACCCATCGGCATCACCATCACCTCCTCAACACAACATTGCACTACAAATAGAAATGTCTTAATATATTTTTAATATATTATGTAAATATATATTTTTTAATTTAGTTATGGGGTCGTTTTCCAAGATCCCTAGTGAATAAACTTACCAATCGATATAACATTAAAGTTCTTTATGGTCGGGTGAAAGAGGCCCCCCTTTGAGTACGTATGGTTGTTATCTCTAAAGTTCTTCGCATTTGACCATAAAAGGACCGGAACCGAGGATATAAAGTGTGCATAGAAGGTTATATGGAACGTAGTGTCCAGTGATGAAAATATCACAATAATTATAAGGTTATTTCCCAAATCCCTAGTGAAAAAACTTACCAATCGATATAACATTAAAGTTCTTCATGGTCGGGTGAAAGAGACCCAACTTCGAGTACATATGGCTGCTATCTCTAAAGTTCTTCGTGGTCGACCATAAGGAGACCGGAACCGATGATATAAAGTGCACATCGAAGGTTATATGGGACGTAGTGTCCAGTGATGAAAATATCACAATAATTATGAGGTTGTTTTCCCAATCCCTAGTGAAAAAACTTACCAATCGATATAACATTAAAGTTCTTCATGGTCGGGTGAAAGAGACCCGCCTTCGAGTATATATGGCTGTTATCTTTAAAGTTCTTCACGGTCAACCATAACAGGACCATAACCGAGGATATAAAGTGCGCATCGGCGGTTATATGGCACATTCGGTATGGTTTCCGACCTTTGGTTCTGTCTCACACTTATTGTGATATTGTCATCACTAAACACTACATCACATATGGTATATGCATGATACGAGTACACTCAATCCATGTCAGGCTGGTCATAAAATTAAATGCATTTTTCTAAAATGTTGTATGTGAGACATGAGATCCAGAATTTGAGGAGATTAGCAAGGCAGCACACATACCACATCGTAATTCATACACCATCAGTGCTGACCGCACCAGAAAAAAAAGCCTCACCCCCAAATCCAACACAGCAACACAAAAAATCTTAAGTCATAAGTACGTGCGATTGATGGTCAAGCAAAAGATAAAAAATCGATGCCCAAGAATACAGATCTGGGAGGGAAATTTTGAGAAGGAGCAGAGGACGGCTCCTCCTGATTCTTCTTAGCAACCCAACAAAAACTAACAGCGACACATGAAGAATCGCAGGAAATCGACGGGCATGTGGGTTACCAAGGGCGATGCAAATACGGGATATTTACCAAGGGTCACCCACCTCCAATATGCGGACGACACCTTGCTGCTCTTTGAGCCTGACGATCATAGCGTAGCTTCGGTCAAACTTATTCTCCTTGCTTTCGAAATCATCTCTGGTCTTAAGATCAATTTTCTTAAGAGCGAGGTAATAGCCATTGGGATGGATCCTCCGCTCGCTTCTCATGTAGCCAATTTACTTAATTGTAAGCTAGGGAGCTTTCCAATTAAGTATTTGGGCATGCCTATCTCATATAAACACATCTCCATTCTGGAATGGGAACCCTTGTATGGCAAGGTGGCAAATAGAGTTAGCCCCTGGCGTGGTCGTTTCCTCTCCTCGGCGGCCAGATTAATCCTAACTAACTCTAGCCTGTCTTCCCTTCCTCTGTTCACGATGGGCATGTTTTTGCTGGCTGATGGGGTTCATGCCAGGCTTGATACGCCCCGATCCAAGTTCTTTTGGGAAGGAACGGGGATCAAAAAGAAGTACCACCTAATCAAATGGGCCGCGCTCTGTCGCCCTAAGAAATTTGGAGGTCTTGGGATTCTTAATTCGAAGCTAATGAATGTCGCCCTCTTAACCAAGTGGATTTGGAAACTCTCCCAAAACGAGCAAGGGCTCTGGGTGGATATTCTTCGCACCAAATACTTCCCATATGGGAATTTCCTTACCTCCAAAGCTAAGGGATCAACTTTTTGGAATGGGATCCAGAAAGGTATGCCGGCATTCACCTTAGGAGCCAAGTTTTGTGTCAACAATCGGTCCTCAACACGGTTTTGGTTGGACCACTGGTTTGGCTCGGAACCCTTGTGGAAAAGCCATTCCTTAGCATATCGGCTTGCTACTAACGTAGAAATCCTAGTGGCAGATGCGCTGCGTTCCAATCCGCCTGCGGTCTCTTTCAAAAGACCCCTGCTTGATAACGAACGAGCCCGTTGGGACGGGCTTGTAGCTGATCTGGTGGGAGTGAACCTTCGTCCTGAGGCCAACTCAGTCTCCTGGGCTCTCTCGCGCTCGGGGAAGTTTTCTGTCCAATCCTTGTACAACAAACTGACCGAAGGACCGACCCTGGACATAGCTAGGGGGCTATGGAAAGCTGCCATTCCCTTAAAAATCAAAATCTTCGTGTGGAAGATGTTTCGCGATCGCCTCCCCTCCTCCAATAATATCGCTCGTAGGAATGGGCCCTCTGACGGCTCTTGCGTGCTTTGTGGCCAACATGAAGATGCCAACCACATATTTTTTAACTGTCACCTTGCTCGCTTTGCTTGGAGTGCGGTTAGGGAGGCGTTCGGGCAGACCTAGGATCCTCGCTCTACCTCGGACCTGCGCGCTTTACTAGCTGCTTTTAGGGATGGTTTTGGCCGGGTCTTATGGCGCTGCGTGGGAGCCTTGCTGTGGTCCATTTGGACCACCCGCAATAAGATGACTATCGAGCACAAATTTCCTTCTCACCCGGCTGACATTATTTTCAAATGTCACTTATTTCTTAAGACATGGACGCCGTTGGGGAAACGGCGTGATGCGGATCGGATGTCGGAGGCGATGGAGCGGATTCGGACGATCCAGATTGATGCCCGCCACTAGCCTGCCGTAGGCTCTGATCTTTTGGACCGGCACATTGCTCTATGTTGCTTATCTCCTCTTGCAGGCTTCGGCCGGTAGCATGTATCGTACCTTGGCTACGGCCGTTTTATCTTTGTTGTTAAGTGTTGAACCTGTTGGATGCTGCCTTATGTGGGCTTTATTAATTTAAAGCCGGACGCCTCCGGCGTCTTCGTTCTAAAAAAAAGAATCGCAGGAAAGCAAATGGCATCAAGATTTGGGAAGAACAACCGCGGATCTGGGCCCTCGGCCTTCGAGCTCAAGGGAGGAACTAGTCGCCCGCGTCCTCCCCTTCTTGCTCCTCCTCTTCTTGCCTCCAACTCCATGTGCTGCTGCTTGGTGAAGCGCTGATGGGGGAAGAAAATGCATTACGGTGCTTGGGCGGCTCGCCGTGGAGGAGGACGTCGGAGAGGCGGGCCGCCATCGATTTCAGGAGCAGCAGAACAAACCCTGCACATGGAGTTCACATGTTAAACAATCTTGCGGGAGGAAACAAAGAAGCACATAAATTAGCAGATCTCAAACACACAGATGAGTGGAACAATGATACGCATGCAGCCTAAGTAACAACTAGAAAAAATCCAACAGAGAATATTGGGGAAAGAACTCACATGAGGCTAGATCTGGAGTCTGGGAATCGAAATTTGGCAAGTTATAAATCGTTGGGGTGGATGGGGCAACCGAGTGATGGTGTAGGTGCGCAGCTCAATGGTGTAGGGGCCTGGTCGCCTGGACAGATACGATGTGATTGTATCCGGTCGTATAACCGTGGGAAAAAGAACTAGGGAATCGTTGGTTGGGACCCGGTGGGCCTGGGCGCGCTAATCCACATGATTCATCGACGGGGAGGATTCGCGTTGCGCGCGCAAACAGATAGGATTCGCCATATTCGTGTAAACGGCATCACCTCAGCATCGTCCGTCCGCCGTCTGTTGATAATGCACGTGGGTGGCCGATGTAGCAGCACTGCCTCTACTCCGTGGATCTCGATCTCGATCCAACGCTGGCCGTGGCCGTGATTCTATCTGTCTTGGCCTTCCAGATGCTAATCTATAGCTCCTCCTTCCAGCATACTGCACGTACAAGTAAATTATCCCCAACTTCGTGTTGACTTGTTGTACTCCGCGCGGCCATGGCACGGCCGCTACACTTCGTGCTGGTGCCGCTCCTTGCGCCGGGCCACGTTATCCCGGTGCTCGACCTGGCGCGCCTCATCGCCGACCGCGCCGGCGCGCGCGTCACCGTGGTCCTCACGCCCGTCACCGCCGCGCGCAACAGGGCCGTCCTGGAGCACGCTTCCCGTGAGGGGCTCGCCGTCGACGTGGCCGAGCTGCGCCTGCGCTGGGGCTGCCCGAGGGGTGCGAGAGCCACGACATGGTCACGGACCTCCCCGGCATCATGCTCTTCTATGAAGCCGTGTGGCTGCTCGCCGGGCCGCTGGAGACGTACCTCCAGGCGCTGCCACGCACCATCGGACTCGCGGGCTATGCCTACGGCCCAGGGCCGTCGGCATAGGTCCATTGCCGTCGGCATAGATCTATGCCTACGGCTGCCGTCGGCATATCCTCGTCGGCGTAGATCACGTCAGCGTAGATGTGTCAGACTGTCGGCGTAGTATAGCCGTCGGCATAGGAGCATATGCCGACGGCCGTGGGAGAGCCGTCGGCATAGTTTAGCCGTCGGCGTTGTTTTCCGTCTGACGGCAACGGACGGCGCCGTCAACAGCGCTGGCGATTCAGGGGACGACACGTGGTGCATGTATGCCGACGGCTCGGCCGTCGGCATAGATGGAAATCTATGCCGACGGCCTAGCCGTCAGCATACATGCGCCACGTGTCGTCCCCCGGCTTCTCCTGGCGGCAGGGCTTTGCCGTAGGCATATCTCTGCCATGTGGCAGCTCCTGGTAACTCCTGGGCGTATATATGCCGACGGCTTTGCCGTAGGCATAGTTTTTTTTGTTTTTTTTATTTTCCCTGTTTTCTCTTTTCCAATTCATTTGACAGCATTTCAAAACAGAACAATATGAAATTATGCAGAAATATGACAATTCATCATGTGAAC